ATTAGAGGAGGAAAGGACGCACACCAATCGATGTGCTCAACAGCTCTTTCCGTAATGAAACAATGAAGAAGCGTTCAGTTGGATAGCTTAGTGACTCGCTTGAAACCAGAATTTCCGCTTCTTCAGTGTTATTCGTTTATCTCTGGTTTCATATCCTTTATGCCGATCATTCTGCGGAACTTGTCAAGCAATCGCTATATTACCCTTCATAGATCTTTGTTTACTGTTCAAATGTATGAGTGGAAAATATTCCAAAAATCGCCTTAATATTATCCTCTACACTAGATCAAGTGTAGAGAAGATAGCGCCTTTAGTCATCGCTAAAGCAGTTAAGCTACTACTTATATACGAAAACCAGAATCCTGAAAACCATCCAGTCACTGCTGCCATATTTGGAGAGTGGATGATAAGCAAAAACCAAGAGATGATGAACAGGAAACGGTTCATGCTGTTGACCGTGGATAACTGTACTAGTCATATTCAAGTGAAAATCTCACAAACCTTGCACAAACCTCACTGCCCACAGACAGAACACGAAATTCAACATTTGGACCAAGAAATCATCAAAATACAATACCAAGCCTATGCCTAACCTATGCAAGGTGTACCAGTGATCTGCATGTCGCATGAACAGTTCTTAGCACCACGTAATATGAAGTTGCAGTATCAATTTCCCTCATTTTAATTGGGTATAGTTGTCAACTCCATACCAATATTCTTTGAAGACCTATCCTGTTTTATGAATACTTCGGGAGATTAATTTTGCTGTTTCTTTCCTACTATATAAATCTGAGGGCCGTTGGACAAGCACCATTCGTTTATCTTTATTGTCTTTTCGTTCACCTTCTCTCGACCCATTGTTGGCCAAAACGTGCGAACATCCTGCGGTGACAAATAGAAGCTCCCGAGCTAACTTTTACACCCACGCAAGGCGAAGTGCAACAGACTCACTTGTGAATACTAAAAGTGCAGAACACGAAAGAACTGAAAGGTGCAACCGGCCGTATGGCAGAAGTACCCAGTATTTAACAGCAATCCTAAACTTGTCAACATGTTGCCAGCCTAACTGCCTATAACAGTGACCCAAACGAAAGAGTTTACGTGATGACATCCAACTTGTTTATAACAGCCAAAAAACGAGACAAATTGGTGCTGGTTTATTTGTTTTAAGCCACATCAGCACAGGACCATATGAGGCACGGAAATGTGGAGTAAACCTTTCTGAGAGATTACCCCGCAAGGAAGCAAGTCCTCAAGAGACGGCTCCACGGAGATTAGTGTTACTTTACTCGAACTGATGGATATACCAACAATTACTCCCACTCTCAACCTCCCCATTTTTTATTAATTTTAACTGATGGAACACGCATAAAACTACACTGAAAAACTCGCATAATCTTCTCCAGCATCCGAGGATATTATACAGAATGATCAGACCAGGTAATCGGTCTGTGTCTCGCACTGTCAAAAAATATCACTTAAATGTTTATTTATTTATCCGTTATGTTAGTTAATACCTTGAGGTTGTGCGTTAGCTAAGTTCCGCTTGGTAAAAAGTTTAAACGGAAATAATACAGAACTGCTCTAGAAAGCTGGATTCGATCAAATTCTCGAACAGAACGATGTCGCCTTACTAGATATTCCGTTTACATGGTAGGGTTATAGAAAAGAGGTTTATAGGAATTTGTTAATCTGTATAATGACTTGTTAAGCTACACTAAACCGGCTCCAGATGGTATGTTCCAATAGATCCAGCCTGAGGTGCGCGCATACGGAGACAAACATGAACGGTTACTGAAAAATAACTAAGTAAAAGTGATACAGAAACCACGGAAATTCCAAAAGACGATAGTGTTAGGCATCTTTTAATGCAACTAATGACACTTTCTGTAGAAAAGACCTTCAACCAGAATGAGTAATGTAGCCTATGCTGATGAGGCTTTCATCAGTGACGTTTGTGTTGAGAGAAAGAAGCAGCCAAATATTGACCACTTATAATAATTTCATCTTCAGGAAATCATTGCTTTTTGATTTATTATGATACAGTATGTCATACCTGTACATGAAAATAAATATTTTACTGTACACTTTATAACGGAAATGTATGGTAAGCTACGCTCTGATTTTGGACTACCATATGTTGACCACGGCTATTAGTATTATTAGTTAAAGCTTGACCAATGTACAATTGGTAGTGCCACAACATCTATTTAATAACAACAAACAAGGAGGAAAAACGGGTAATCAGTGAAAGGATTTGGAAAGTTTAGAATGTCAATGTGCTTTGTGGGCAGAGATCTTCCCGGTTGTCTAGGCCGAGGAAGTGGATTGACTTAAGGAACCCCACACCGAGCCTTTGGTCTTAAGAACTAACCTTCAAGGTAGCGAGGCGATTAACGATGCACGTTGACATCCAAGTGGCTCCTTCTCCTTCTTTGTGTTCTGTAGCAGACCATAGAGTAGCCGGTCGCCAGCAAGGTTGTTCATCCGCTCTCCGTTATATACTCACCTCTGGTTACAGAAGTGAGTGGTCACATTGGCTTCAATACAACGCCGTACGAGCTTTTGTGGTATTTGTTGGAGAACCAGGTGACCAGCCCAGAACTCTCCGCACTCTGAGACCGTGATGCTCATTGTCCGCGAGTTCTTATTCATGACTCATTCGGAGTTACCTGCACAATGATGGCGTTCCCCGATCCGCAACCTGGGGACGCGTCCGATAGCGTACAGCTCCGTCACGGTTGACTACCACTACCGATTTGATCAGCTGACCTCCACGATAAGCTGATCAAATCGGTACAGTTATTGAAGTGGTGAGATTCAGGATGCTTTACTGAATCTTTGCAGACTGTTGGCTAGGCAAATTTAATTTCTAGTCGCGCGTTGCAGTATCGGTTTTCGCCAGAAGCGTCTTATGGGTAAACACAGGGCAGAAGTTTTCTGTAGAACGTTTTGCTTTAGGGACAATTAACAACACATAAAATTGATTGCATTTGATTCTCATTACCACATAAGCAGCCAAAGGAATTATTCCGCTAGTTTGGAATGTTACTACTGGTTACGAAGGTGTGAGCGGATCAGTAAAACCACAACTGTTTTAGATAAAACGAACGATGTCCACCAACTCAATACACGACATTACTGTCTTCCGTTGTTATGCAGTTTCGTTTAGTGATAAATAACAATAGCTTTGTGCTGCTTTTTAAAAGGATGGCTTTCCAATTCATTAAATCTAGTTACCAAACGTGACTCACAAATGCACACCTCATTTTAGCAAGGCCGAAATGTACCAACCGATCGCCACTGGCATCACGGCCCCAAGGAAATCTTGGTGAAGACAACATACAATCTGGTCGACTGCCTACCGATTGGATTGCTGAACGGTGTTTTTCACCCTCATCCTACTCTTCCCTACTAGCTAGCCTGATAATATCCCACCTTATTTTGCTTTCGTACTTTGCCGCCTGACAAATCTCGATAATAATAGTAATTAGTAATACAATATGTAGCATATCCTAGTTTCAAATGCTTTGGACGTAGAATCTAGTGAGAGAAAGTCATGACCTCCAGAGGCTAGCCACTGTCATGTGCTAAGGTAGTAACCTGTGTGGCACTGGAAGATAGGTCGTGCTATATTCCAGTTAGCTTGCATATGATGTATCCCAGGCGATGTCCCCCATGACTCAGTGGCTTAAGCTGTTGGTTAGTTGGCATCGGCCTCTAGCAGTCATGAGTTCCATCCCCAGTAGGGGACCTAGGGAATACGCACCTATGACGAGCCCAAATAGAGCGAAATTCTTATGGTGCTTTTCCGGGCTAGGCTGTGTTATGTAGCTTCTGAGCTCCTGTGATGAAAACATTAAAAATAAAAGCTTTTTAATCATTGGAAGTATTTTTCAACTTCTGCATCTATTTTTGTTCAAATTACATGATTCGTTATGCTTTACTCGTGACACACATTGAATGACATTTCGTAACCAAGCCCCCTTGTTCTCTGTAGTTGTTCCAAGCAGTCTGCCTACCCCACCCAATTTTATTAACCGTTTCTTTATCATAATTATGTCCCGTACTCTTATCTCAATACATATAACTCGCCTCATAGAACTGGTATCTGAACAAACCGTTCACTGTACATCAACAATGTAACTAAACCGTGGTGTTCATGACCGCAGTGTCACTTGACGGTGGTCATTCGTTTCTAAAGATATTGCAGTCGGTGCTCAAAAGTGTTACCTACATCAACATTCATAGCTCTGCCCACCTGCTACACATGCACTGCCCTGTCAAGGAATCGATTTATGGCTAAGAGGGATTAATTTTGAATAACTCTGTCGTCCATGGGTATTCGTCACTATCATGCTACTTTTCAACATATATGGCTGTCATCCCTTGCTGTTGGTTCTGACGCTTCTGTCTTTTACTGAACTAGTTGTGATACCAAGCAGCTTTTTGCTCAGTGTTCATTGAAGGCTGTCAGGTAAATCACCTTTGGTTCTGCTACATTACTCAGCCAAACAACCCAGGGTCAAACAACATAATGCACTCATGGATTTCAGACTGAATGAACAAGTGTGGTGACGTAATCTATGTCGTAGGTGCACGTTGCCCACGAACGTACATTCCTTGAATTTATCAGTCAACTTATTGAATAGATCGGAATTTGACGGCCTTATGAAAGAGACCCAAGCAGAGAAATTTTGATTTGGATAATATAGTTCGCCAAAGCAGCCTGAACGATTAACGATCATATACTCAACTTCCACTGTTCTTTAGTTTGAGTACAGGTTTATCGGCGGTGCAACCCAAATGTGGTACTCACACTATGTCATTATTAATATTTGAATGTAAAAGTCTTCATACGCGGTAAGCATAGCTGAACTTGACATAAACAAACTAAGGAGACTCATGTCTTTTCATCGGGGTTGTACAATGTGTCAGGGAATAGATTTCCTATAGTGAGCTTCTCATCTGTTCGTGAACAATACGTTGTTTTCTGGCAGTTTATACCACCTGAAATATGCAGCTTGCAGCGGCTGGAAGTATTAAAGCTTCGAAAAAACGAAATTGAACATCTTCCAGAAGAAATAGCAAGCCTTCATCGGCTGCGTAATTTGGATCTTTCACACTGCATGCTTCAAAGCCTTCCTCACAGGTGAGTTAAGCATTGATCACTGTCATCCTTTCAAGCCATCCCGGGCAACAGTTCATTTAAGAGCGGAGAGTAAAGAGGTTTGCATAAATTAGCGCCCAGTACTGCGTTGGAAAACACCGTTTACTTTTGCCTGCCAAAAGAACAATGCGAAAACAAGAACCAGGAGTATTATTCGCAATAATTCCGATCTATTGATTCGCTAGTATAACAATGAGGATGAATATTGCGAATAAATACTGTTTATGCCACTGCATATGCTATGCAGAGTATCATAAAAATAATGAGAGATCTACGTTATAATCAACTGTGATAATTTGTCAGAACTCGTTAGTGTGGCAAGTTTGTCTTTCCCAACTGTAGGCTCCCTTCAAGTGGCCTGCAGGGAATTAGACAATACATGCAGCAGGTTCGTGTTAAGCTCATTTGTAACCAAAATCCACCGACGTGAAAAGATGAAATCGTTCCTAAAGTGCAGGACCTGGAAATGCATGGCAATGAGGGATTTAGCATTGTTCGCGCACATTGCCTTTCCGAGTGAGGATAGTTAGAGCGTCTATACAACACAAATAAACCATGGTACCAAAATTGTATGGGAGGATAATGCAAAGAACCAACAAGACATTGTGGCAAAGTTTTGCTCTAAAAGCTGCTATAAATGCACATAAACAAACTTCGCTGAGTTAAGCGCGGAATCCCGGCGCTGCACATAGCATGCGGGTTAGCACAAGCGGCAAAGAGTTGGCCAACGTTCCTGGACAACAAGTTGGCCATAACTTCCATATGGTGTAACCTCTTACAACATGCCTACGCAGATAATGCCGCCATCAGGCCCTAACCACCTCACATTTATAACCGTAGCTATATTGAAGCGACCTATGTCCTTGAGTGAATGCAGTTCCCCAATTGAAGGCAGCATTCGCCCGAAGGCATTGAAATTTGCTGCCATGAGTTTAGCTAACCCATTAGCAACAAACCTGTGGCGATGTCTTAACGATATACATCTCCCCATGAGGTGGAAGCAGGAATAATCACAGTAAACTATAAAAGTGGTAGCCGTGCAGAACCAGCGAATTATTGCCTGCTAACGCTTCTTCCGGTGCTTTTCAAAATCATGGAGTTCATTGTAGTTGAGGCGCTCACGAATTACCTGAAGAATAACAAATCCTCTTTCCGAAACAGCACCGACTTCGCTATACTCTGTCCTGTACTACTACTTTGTTGATATATCGTGCAATATGGATGGAATCTGTGGAAGCTAGTGTAGGAGTAGATGCAGTCTACCTGGACTTCTCAAAGACATTCGACCGCCTGGATCATTGCATTCCACTGCACAAACTCCAGAATTATGGTATCGATGATCCCGTTCTAGGATGGTTAGGGGACTTTCTCTTTGAACATCACCTGAATTTGAGGGTTCGCATCACCCTGTCGGAACTCATCAAATTTCAGTACGCCGTACCTCAGGGCTCGGTATTCGGGCCACGCCTGTTCCTGGTTTTCATAAATGATCTTGCAGCTGTGCTGTCTTAAAACTATCTGCTGTTTACGGATGATCTGAAGATATGGCGTGCTATCGCCTCAGTGGATGATCACATAGCCCTACAGGATCACCTGGTGAAAGCGTACACGTGGTCCATGGAGAACATGCAGAATTTCAATACCACGAACTTCAAACTTATGAGCATACGCCATCAAGGTACTCACAACTATCGCCTAGGACCAGAAATTCTACCGCGGCCTTCTTATGAGCGTGATCTCAGCGTGCTTGTTCAAGAGGACCTTGGGTGTTTATGGCGGAATTGAAAAGACCTCAAAGATTGGAAACCAACACTTCGGCATTCTTTTGTAGAGCGTTCAGGAGGTTTGAGGCCTCAATCTTTCAGAAAATGTTTGGCGCGTACGTGAGGCCGCACGGAATACGCTATTCAACTTGACAACCTTGGTAGAAGCACAACCTCACCACGCTTGATACCGCACAGTGCAGAACGACAAAGTACGTTAGTGGTTTGTCCAGCGTTCCCTACCCACTCAGGCTGAAAGCCCACAAAATATACAGCGGATGTAACCGGCGTCTAAGAGGCGATCCCATACTGGTGTAACAGATTTTGAGAAACCCCAACCACACATGTCATTCTACTTTGAAACAGTCGAAACACGTATCTAAGGGGTCATCTGTTTAATCTGGTCACGCAATACAGCCGACTGAATTGTCGACGAAAGCTTTTCTCCCTCCAAGTGTCACAGCCTTGGAACGCCCTCTCGGCAAATGTTATTAATGCTACTACTTTATCTCATTTCAAAAAGCGCCTTGACGATACTCTGACACATTTACACTACGTGCTATAGCCTGTGCTAATCCAAACCCCTTGGTGATTCACGTATTTCACACGTTCTTTTACTGACATGGATTTTTATCTCAAGTTTTGCTGTCACCATCTTAAGGGACATGTCAAGCATTCACTTTTATACTCGCCATAAACCATTACTCCTTTGCTCCATATAACAACCCCTTTCTCAAGAACACAAAGCATCAAACGTAGAAGTAACTAAGTATGCGGTTGGCTTTTTGGAAATTCATGATAGCCCCATGTTTCCTAAGTGCTGCTTTAAAAGCGGAACCTAGTTCAATGTAAATTATACACAAACCCTGCGATATGGAAGGCTTTCTTAATGAAAGAAATTATTTAATGTTTGAAAAATATCACTACGTCAGCGCGCCTGTAATATAATAACCTTAAGGTGCGATTTAGTGTCCACGTTTCCGCGCGAGATTCGTCTTGCTACTGTTCATTTCGATTTTGCAACTGGCCATCTTAAGTTAGCCCGCTGGATGAAACCGCTAATGTTTGGATTGTTAGCCTAATTTCATCAAATAGGCACATCCGTATCCTATTAAAGTCTTCGAATTTGCTTTATGCGATTAAGACTAGGGAGTCACTGGCAGAAGTAAGTTGCTTTTCTACTTAGCTATTTGGTCGTATCGACTTGTAGGTGTATGAAAATAACTCCAGTATTTACTCCTCATTTTCCTTTAGTCCCGATATCTTTGTTTATAAAAAGGCTGTTATTCTTCCTTCAATGATTGATGTATGCAGCAAACTGGACACAACATTTCTAAACAAGCTGTCTTGTTTCTGTTCTTTTTTGTTCCATCACGATACAACTAGTATTAAATTGCTGGACATTCATGAAGTGTTGGCATCAATACATGAATTAATAAAATTGTGTTTAAATACTTATCACCCATCACTTGAATTTATACTGGCTTTCGGAGGAATAGGTCGGTTCTGCAAAGGTAATAAAACAGCTAGTTAGCCTGTGGTATCAACGCATGATTTGACCAACACGTTTGTTAGACGCACTCATCGTACGCCATGCATCAAATCAAGAAAATACCACACCACCGCTGTGCACTCGATCAGGGACATGGCGTTACTGATTCCTTGGTTAGAAACACATTAAAACACACGTAGTCACACCTGCACTTTACAGATTGAAGCAATACATCACAGTTTTAGTACCTGAAATTCCATTTTTACATCACCATAACTTTGTGAAGGGGTTAAATAATCCCAGTGGCTTATGGAAAATGCTCCTATATGCAGTGAACATGTTGCTAATGTTTTTTGCCTTCCGGTACTGGTACACATTTTTACGCATGACAATTTGGCTTCAGATTTTTTGAGCTACACAGATTGGAAGAACTGGATTTGTCCTACAACCTGATTGCAGTGCTGGACAGTATGCTTGGAAAACTCAAGTGAGTCCATTTGTTTCTCTTAGCACTGTAACCAGCCGGAATTCGGAAAGACTGACCTTGTGACCATCGAATCCCTATGTGTGCTTTTGGTTCATTTTTAAGAGTCAACACATTTTGTCAACCACTAAAATCGCCATAATTTGCTTCATCTTTCTAAATGGATGGCAATGTTGGCGTACTCAGTATAAGCGGAAAATTGTTTAAGAACCAAAGCAACACGTATCTAGCCAAGCATTCAACAAGAAGAAAGCCAAAACCGAGATAGTGCTGCCTTTGAACAAGATAGAAATATCAAATGGACAATATTGTAACGATTTCCAAACTCAAATGAACCCGTAGTTGCTTCTTCAGTAAGAAAACTATCTCACGGTCAAATCTTAATAACAATCGTTGAATCAACATATGGAGGAAAATGCACAACAAAGCCAATTGGAAAAACATATAGGATGTACAGATAGGTCGCACAGTATGCTCAAAAGCTTACATAGACACCAACCAATGGGGTTCGCCTTGATAGGCCTATGGCTGCACACGAGCATGGAGCGCTCGTGTAATGAATTACTCAAATTCGATCATGCAAAACACCTCGACCCTCGGGTAGCAAAAGTAGGACACATTAATGGGCACAGGACGCGTGCGGACGGTGACAAGGTCACTGGAATTTGGACGTAACTGAGTTAAAGTAGGTACACAGGGAACAGTGTATGATAAAGCCAGTCAAAGGATTGGCAGTGCAACCAGACTTTAGCGGACACGAAGTGCCAACTGCAGTCCACATGGTAAATAAGACCCGTTTTGGTTACTCACCAGCAGTGAGTCATCATGTCACAGAAATTCGCTCATAAGCGCTCGGTAGATGCACTCTCAATACTGAACACTGAAAACGGTAGGCTAGAAGATATACTTTCTTGTTGTTACATTGATGGAGTAGCGGGCACACAGCGAGAACGTCATTTATAACCTCGTACTGTCAACAGACTTAGCTTGTACGACGTCTTTTCCGTGCGATGCGCAGTAGGTAGCAAATCGGGCGTCCAAGGAATTTCAGTAATAACTGCAATAATTTTTCTTTGGCTGTTATCTTGGACACGGACACTCACGCTACTCAATATTTTTATTAATCAAGCTACAACCGCTGGATCAGTTGATGCAGAATAGTAGGTGTGGTGATAGGGAATAAGATTTAGACAAAGAGATCGTATTTAATAGTTCATTATAAGAGTAAGGCGACATGAACACATGAGATGACCAAAATCATCGGAGAACGATTTAAACTCATGTACCTAGATAGTCTAAAATGTAAAGCTATACGATTGATCCCTGGACGATCATAGCTATGCGGATGGCGTGGATTTCTCATCATTACAGCTTTCACGGGGACAAAATTAACGGACAAGCTGGAAATATGCTCTGGAACACTTAGGCCCTAGAAGCACTTATTGGTTGCTTTGATTTCTCCAAATAAATAGAATATAAATCAAATTGGAAACAGAGTAACTAGGCTGGAATCCCAAGCAAAGGAATGAAAGATCAAATGTAGTGGTAATAGAGACTGAAACAAGTCGTTACTCTATCTGGTCACCCTGGTTTTACTGTTTGTGAGTCAAAGAATGTTATTAATGGTATAAAATCCTTTTCTGGTTTAATGCAGTTCGCATGATATTACAATGCGTCACTGGGCGCATTTGGTCACGTGTTGCGAATGTAGAATACACATTCCGGTTAAATACTTTAGAAATTTGTTTACTACTTCAGTACAAACTTCGCTAGTCCTCTAGTGCAGCTGCTTCAATTTTGCGCTCTTCGTTAAAGTTCCGTTACTGCTCCCTAGCTGTTGACACCATATTTAGTTAGATTCATTCGAACAGCTCTATTTTCCTCTATCCTCTAAACCATCTTGCATGGGAGTTTCTACCACGGAGCACTGTTCCAACACTCCCAGCTACGTTTACGAATTTCGCGCACAAATCCACGCATACGGCCTTATCGGACTGGTAGTAGTTGACCAACCGCGTTAATGCATTTGATAGAGCCATCTTCGATGCGTTCAATCATCCCGGATTCGTTCATGTACGGTCGTTTCCAAGGCAGCTGCAATACAATTTGTTATTCGTTGTTTGCTAATCATTTGCATCCAGCTTCGTGTGCAACTAGCCTGTTTTCGTATTCGCCGGCAAACGGCTCCAATCGTATTACCCCATCACATTTTTAATCTAACGACTTCTCAAAAATCGGGTAGTGGCATACCATGCAAGGGTCGGGATAATATCCATTCTTAGTTCGTCTAATAACTCACTTATGGTTACTAAGATAGCTTCATGCTTGTATACTAATGCACAAATACTTATAATCAGTTAGGCCAAACTCAATCATCGTCAGACTTCAGAGTCTCGACATACCATAATGATTGGCGGACCATGGCTGAACTGTGAGATTACGGACGCTGAGATCGCTTTGCTCGATATCTTACTTCAATGGAACGACAGAATGTGTAAGGGAGGGGAGTGGTCACTTATTACCAAACAAACATGTCACCGATCTCATTTTGTGTAAAATGTGTATGGAGGACGACGATACAATCCTCTTTTGCGTAGTTTAGCAACAACCCGAATCCACTCCGGAAATGTACCGCAGACTAACATCAGCTTTCTTTTGCTGGGATAACTCAGAAAAACACCCATATCCTCGTTGCGAGAGATTCCAACATCTATGATGTGGGAATTCCAGCAGGAGCTAACTAACAGTTCAAAAGATATCTTCAAGAGGTTATCTCTAGCACACCCTTGCACAACCACGTCCTCGCTCCTACCAGGTTCAGCACAGCGAATAATTCATCAATTTTAGATTTGATGCACACCAGCGAGAAACTCATGGTTGATAGGTTAAATATGTGCCATGTTTTAGGCAGAAGCCATCGCGTAACAACTGCTTGATTACATTGCTACGTCAAATACCCCGGGGCAGAACTCGAAATGAAGTAATGCATTACTGATGAGCACGTGTTGTTCGCATTCGAGGAAAACGCTGGTGGAATAATCATGAATGAGCGTACTGCAGTAAAAGCGCGGGGAATATTTGTAGTGCACTTTGCGCACTAGTTTCAAAAGCAGTATATCCAAAAGCTTTCCATCGTCCTCTCAAAGCAAATCATTTTTAAGATGCAGAATATGTAACTATATGGTCTTGAGCAATCGTCATGTCGTGTTTACAAAAACAATTCCGCTTGGTTTGTGACGTATTGCCAACAAGCTCACAATATCTGTCCTGGTATTGCAGATTGGCTCACTCACTCGTCACTTCCTAATGAACCGAAATAACTGCCCTTCCGGTGTTCAAAGGGCGATGGTAAATTTAGTATTAATTGTTTTGTGACTATGTATTTTTGCACAAATTTTAATCGTGGCTTGTAGTTTCTACAAAAATTGCATACTAAACCACCAATACTAAAAATATTCCATCACAAAAACTGGACGGCGTACTTAGTTCAACGCAACGGCTCTGTACATTTGGTTCGTGGGGACAACGTAATACCCCAGCAGATAGCAAAACGATTCTTTTCAGACCATACGCTTCTTGATAACAAGATAAAAAGGCTACGTATTGTGCAACGTGAATCCTGGACCCTTGCTACCTTTGGCGGCTATACACACAGTGCGGGAGAGGGGGCCAACAGTTTCGGGCCAAATACTTATCTACTGTCCAAGTGGTACAAGCCCCGAATGCTATTCCTAATTCTATCACTTCTCCATCAGCCCTATTTAGCATCACGTTCACTGCACAAGCTGTGCTTAAAAGCTACTAATCTTGTGTATGCACAGCTCTCCTGGAGCGGATAACATCCACCCTAAAGCACTGCAGGTATCAACCATACACTTAATCTAACCACTAGGTGGATCCTTTCAGTTTTGTATAGGCGAGAACATGGTATCATAAAAGCGGAAGCGGCGTACTACCAGCCCTATTCACGATGGAGCAAGTCGATCCATGCCTGCCAGTTGCCACCCAGTAAAGCTTCGCCCGGTTCCCGCCAAACTCTTGGAAGCAATCATCACAGACGCACTGATGAGCTACCTTGAAAGCTACAACATCATTGCATCGGAACAGCACTGTTTTGGTTAACTTCGATGGTGTGCCACGAATCCGCTCATAGCACGCGGCAATTGGACCGAAACAGTCTTTGGATTTTCTGAAAGCATCCGATCAAGTGGATCACTGAATCCTGCTTCAAGAAATTCAGTAATGCGACATTATATGTTAATTTCAATTGAATTCAAGAAAGAGCTTTTGACGCCTGGGGGTGAATATGTAGCTCTTACACATACGCCTTCGGCATTTTAAAAAGAATACACAACATAAAAATAAGCAGCAAAGACAGCATTATCCTTAAAAGGTAACTTTATTTGTAAGCTCCATAACGACGAGGTCTGGTTGCACGAAAACCGTGCCAAGTGGGGAATTACGGATGAGTGCTTAAGCATTTGTACGGGAATAAATGGATCTGTACTTTTGTCCATATAAGGATTTAATACACTGTCAGAAGGTGCGCAATAAAGGGAGTGACTTTTGTAAGAGAGTATTTTTGAAGCGCCTTTTTCAGGAACTTGATTGAGTAGACAAATGATGTCAACAGTCGTTAGCTTTAGAATACTGCTACATCAAGACAACTGTGTCCATGACCTAACTAGGATTTTGCAATACATTTTTAGGAAACCGGGTAATGTCACAGGGGAGCAATAAGTTCAGTTAGGTAATACCCAAGCGGTGATAAGTCGCAGCATTAGGTAGCGAGGGACAGAGGAGGATCGCAAACCAGCAGCGTAAAAGGATAGGCTCCTCACATTTGTAAAACTTCTTTCACATGGAGTCACCATGGTAGATCGCGACTGGAACTCCTAACTAATTCACAGACTCGATGGAGTTTAATCGTTTGCCGGTTACGTGAACTTCATTGGACGTTGCCGATAACGACGGTCATAGTGAAGGGAAAAAGCACGTCACTG